TTATATCCCTGGTTTCAATTATACTTTGCACTGCATAATATATCTTCAGGAGTTTATGTAATTAGTCAGCTAGCAGTATAATGCAAACTAGAATAAGGAGCAAACCGGGAATTCATCTTTTTACACAGATGGAGAGGGATGATATCAGTCATTTAGTCCTGGTGCCAGCGGAGTAGTGCATGTTGGTGCATGGAAATTATCTTTCAGCGCTGTTCTATTTTTTCCACCAATGAACAGAGTTCAAAGTTATTCTGGAATTATTCAGAGAAGCTATACACGATTAGTACAAAACACAACTGATTTAAGATGAATTGCTGCTGCAGACTTCCTTTCCACAGAATTTTACTTTGGTTTTAATATAAGGGCTTTTTCCTGCGATGTGGGTTTTATCTCTGAAATCAGACAGTCATAGAAATTAGAGATAGAAAAGACTCACCAGATCACCTCCTGTCAATGCAGGAATAGTTTCTACAGTATATTCCTCCAACACCTTGCCCGACCTAATGTTCAATTACTTAACTGATGAGCATCCCACTGCTTCCTTTAGGAGATCATTCCCTGTTCAAATGAAGTTCACTACTGGGAATGCTTTCTTGATAACCAGTCTAAAGTTGCCTTAATTTCATCCCATTATTCCTGAATTATAACTTCCTAGACATGTTCTTCCCCAAGTAGCCTCTTTCATTATTTGGTATTTATACCCAAATACTTGTAAACTGTGATTATGTATTCCAACTCCACCACCACTGTTTAACCCAGGTACATAAACTTTTTTACCCTTTCCTTTTAAATCACTTTTGCTAGCCTCTGAATGATTTTTGTTGTCCTTTTCTGAATTGTTTCCAATGTATTGACATCTTTCTATTACTGACAGGCCCAGAACTTTATGCAATAGTCTAGGTGCAATATCACCAGAGTTGCATAGAGAGCAACTTACACCTACTTGGGCTGGTATATGCAGCCTTGACTTTTTTTGATGGCATATTGAATTGCAAATTGATACCCAGCTCATTGTTTGCTATCACCCCTGGGCTTTTTTCCTCATTACTGTTTCCCAGCTCTTTTCCTGCCATTGAATAGCTACATGCCTTTGTGTTCAATATTTTAGATTGAATCTGATTTTGTAATTTTTGCACCTCTCTAGGACTTTGTTTTTACTTCTCCATCCTCACTGATATTTGCAATATGTTTGAATTTATATTATCTACATATTTTGCTTCATGTGAAGGTTACCTATTCTTCCAAATCATTAATAAAAGATACTACATAAAGCTGAGGCTAACACTGATCCTGGAAAACCCCTCTGGCTCTCATTGTAAGGTTTATGCTGATTAAACTGATACTCGGTTTTTACTGGTGGATACATGCAACTACACTAAGAAGAGACCCACCATGGACCACCTTCATCGAGCTATGCATTCACTGGCTACCAGAGATTTTTTTTTCCTTAGCTCCATCTCATTAGGCTTTCAACTTCCATTAATTTAATTTGTTGAATGAGCCAGGTGGTTGCCTAGATCTATAGGACCATGAAGGGGCATATACAAGCCCCTCTTCCCTAGTCCTGAGATACCACCCTGGAAAATCATCTTTTTAGTTGATTTAAGAAAGAAACTATTTTTGAGGTTGTCAGATTACTTATGGAACCTAAACATGCAAGTAGTCTTGAGGTGGATGGGCAGCTTGTGTTGGTTTTACTGTACCACATCATATAGGAACCAGAGAAAATGGAAGTGGAAGTGGTGGCATTCAGAAATAAAAGCTTCTGAAATAGCATATTAGGGAAAGATCCAATTTCCTTAAGTCAATGTAAAGACTCCTGGTCACTCCAATGTAAATTGGATCAGGCCCTTAAATATATTTGCCAGCTCCAAAATAACCTTAAAATTATTCAGTGTTGCCAGTGTGATAGCTAATAGGACCTGACCCTCTACCTGTTGATGTCACTGGCAGAACTCCAATGGACTTCAACTCAAAGCACAACTCTGTTGCTCCTCAGACCTGTGACAGCAGATCATGTTTTTAATGACTTTAGGGGATCACCATGTGCAGCCCTGAAAAATATAAAGTAAAAGCACAAAACAAATATTATTTAATGTACAGTTAAAAATAAATGTCCTCCTTCTGGTTCCGTTCTGGTTATACTCCAGAAGAATTTTGTTTGACATACGTGTACAAAATGGCCTACTGAGTCACCGTGCCAAGGAGATGTGATGTAAAAGCAGAATTGCAACTGTGACATCTATCCAATCAGATTGCAGTAAAGTATGGTGCAGTGTTTTGCTCACATTTAAAGTGAACAGTAGAGTTATGTGGGGGCTTAAACCTAATCACCCATCTCTGCTTATAGGTAATGCCAGAGTACCTGTGCTGCCCATGAGCAGACTTGCAGGCAAAATGGGTTTTAAATATTCCATTTTTCTAAATCACACTTTCTTGCAAATCAGGTCTCTAAACTATATTTGATTTAGCATCTTCGTTCATGCATTTCAGTAAAACCAGGTTTATTACTGCTTTGAGTCTTGAAACTAGTCTAGGGACAAGTACTCTAAAGTTTATCTCATGAATGAGCCTTTTTCCTTTTGTGACCACACAGCCAAACATAACACTAAATATTCTGAGTGTTCGCAAGCCCTGTTTGTGTTTTGGGGGTAAATAAATCTCTTGAGGTATAGTTCATTTTAGAGTGATCAGAGTCTCTCTGGTTTTTTTACCACTGTTGTTTTGGGTTGTTGTTCAGGGGGTTTTTTTGTTTTGTTTTGTTTTGTTATTGGTGCTGTGACACATTTTTTCCAAGTAGTCTTTAAATATCCTGGTTAATGTGGGAGGCAAAGTTGAGCTTTTCTAGACAGTGAATCTTTCAAGTATTCTAAGTCCCTTCCCGTGGGCTGATTCCTAGCACTTCAGATCCCAGAATGTGCAAAACATTCCTACAGTGGCCTCCTTTGCATATTTACAAATCCAACCATTTGGAGCCAGTCAAAATTTTCCACCAACACAGTTTTTCAACAAAAAATGGCTTTTTTGACTAAATTTTTAAAAAATAAATAAAAAAATGGGAGGGGGAGGGGGAATCTGTTTTCATCAAAAACCCAGAAATAAAAAAAAAAATCAGTTTTCAGCAACTTGAACATTTCACTCTTTAACTGGAAGTATTTAGTTTTTGGTTGCAAAAAAACAACATTTCAATGCAAAATTTCAACAAATCAAAAAATTCGTTTCATTCAAGTTTTTCACAATTTCTTGACCAGCTTTATTAGAAATGAGTGCATCCATGTCACCTCCATCCTCAGTCAACTCCACTGGCATCCAAATCAATTCAGAACACTGTTAAAAATTGCCCTCCTTGTTTTTAAAATGCAGTGAATTTCTTCCAGCTGACTGACCTTGTGGACCTTAGTACAAAACACACCATTGCTTAACTAGGTGGTTAGGGACTGAACTGGATAGCAGGTGATCAATCTGGCTCTGCAGGGTCCTGATCTAGATCCCATTGAAGTCAATGGGAGTCTTTATGTCAACTTCAGGAGACTTTGGAACATGCCCCAGGTGAAGAAAGAAAATTCATTGTTTTGCATAGTCTCAGTCATTAAGACGTTACACTTCCTACACTCCAGAGTTGCTACCATGAAATACATAAAACTGGGAAAAGCAGGAAAAGTGTTTGGGGAGGCGAATGGGTAAGTCATGGGGAAATGGATTTACACCAGATTCTGAGCCACATTCCTTATGTTGAAGGACACAAATTACTCACAGTAACTGTCATGAGGCCACACCCTTTTAACAAGAGAGCCTGTCCTGCCAGTTATTCAGAGAGCTGTACAATGGTGCCCAGATGCAGAACTGTAGTTCTTGGCTGATGCAAAACTTCAAAAACACCATATAGAAGAAAAATGAGGATCTCGGCTTGTTTTATAAGCCAGCACACATCCCTCACTCAAACACATACTAACACAAGTGCCTGGGTACATGTTACACAAGGGTACAGAGCAGGGCTAGGATATATTACTATGAATAGATTTTCTTCACGGTCATAAGCTCCAGTCATTATTCAAACAGCGGAATCAGGCCCTTGTCTCTTTCTATATTCTTTTTCCTTCCTTTCACCCTCCCTCCCCACAAGTAATCTAGCACTGGCCTCTTCTCTTTCAGTACACATAATCTCCCCATCCTTGGAGCAGTCTCCTTTTCCTCTGCTACTCCTGCTGGCTACTGCTGCCTTCGTGTATCCCTTTGCCACCTTAGCCCTAGATATTTTATCCCTTCCCTACAACATTAAACTTCAATTTCTTCTGTTGTTATTTACTATTTACTTCTAATGCTGTATTTTTTAAAAATTCTGTGAAGCATTCTGAGTTGCATTTTGTATGAAAGATACTATACAAAATGAGATTTTGTGGTATTGTATAACAGTAAATACAACACAATTGAAGAATCATTTCTTTTACATTCAGATTCCTGGACTAATATTTGTTATAAATTTGAAACTAATTTCAAGTTGTTCTCTCCAAATGAAGTCATCATTGCAAACAAGCTGAAGCTTGTATGGAAGATATAGCCGCCATTGGCTTGATTCCTCTGTCACTAACCCAGTATAAATCTGGAGTAACTATATTGAAATCAATCTGGTGAGAGAGAAAAACCAAGTTCTGGGTGTCTATATGATCCCAAAGTGGTAGATTCCTTATAAATATCATTGAGATCGTGGTATCCTGCTACAAAACTTACTGAATGAGGAGCCTGACTACATGCAGAACTCCCTGTGAAATGCAATTGTGTCTTATTCCATTGGGAAAACAATCTCATTTCTAACAAACTGTGCATGATGTCACAGATTAATCTTTAATTGTTAAAACAAAAAGTACATCTTTCTTAAGAAATCTTTAATACAAATATTCAAAAGGAAACAGCAATGTTCTTTAAACTAATGACTATGATTGCATGAATAGATTCCATGTTAATGCACCTCTTCTTTTCTTTCCTTTTCTGGTGCTTAATAGAGAAGAAAATCACGTTATTCGGACCTTGACTTTGAAGTAAGTTTAAGTTTAAGTTATTCCTGCTTATTAAAACTATATTAATATAAAGTTAATAAGAAATTTCAGTTTAAGCCACATGATATAGTAGATATCAATATGATGGTTTAAATGGGTGTTGTATAATATATGACGGGAGTTTCATTAAAACTACTTTGGCAAAAGTTACTTGTAAAACATTCTAACATCGAACTACTGCATAGTACAAATGAATTATCATGGCTTCTGTTCTAAGTTCTCCACCATTTCAGTTGCATGTATTTTTTTCCTTTTTATACATCTGTTAATTTCCCGGTGGTCATAGAGGCTGATTGTCTATTTGAAAAAGTTTGTCTCTTTTGTTTGATAAGTGGTGTTGCACAACAAGTCTGCTTCCTTCCACAAATTCTCTATGTGAGAGAGCCCAATCTCTCATTTTCTTTAGGATTCTTTTCGCTTATGGGACCTAAATTTTCAAAACTGATTAGTGATTTTGGGTACTTGAGTTGAAACCCTTTAAGGGGCCTGACTTTTTTCAAAGATGCTGAGCAACTGCACTCTGAAAACAGGCCCCCTAAGTGATTCAAGTTGGATACCCAAAATTTGAGACGTGCAAAATCTTTAGTCCTTGTTGGAAATGTAGGCTCTGGTTGCAAGGATTTACATGCACAAACATTTTGGTGAAGGTATTTATCTTCCTATTTATTTGTATGGTTGCTCTAAGTGACTACTCTGTGTAGTCAAAGTCTATATTCAGCAGAATAATAATGATTTATGGATTTTTGGTTTTTGCAAAACTGTCTTATTCATGCTTATTAATAATTTGATATAATTCATTATGTGTTTCTCCAGTGAAGCCTCTCACACTGTTTGCATAGAACCTTACATACTTAGGACCAAATTTTAATATCCATTGAGATCCACATATCGACTGTGACTTGAAAAATCATTGTCTATGTTTACATGGACAACCATAGTAGTGGATTTTTCTAGTCATGCATTGAAGCATTTCTTGGATCAGAAGTCAGAATCTGGCCTGCAGTTACTGATACAAAAACTATGGCAATTCCTTTATTATCTCATCTTGTGAATCATTCAGTATATAATACTGTCTATTCCAGAGTTTTAGGCTATCAAAATGTGAAATTTTGAGCAATAAATTATGTGTTCAGAGAACCAAACCCAAGTGCTTTGAATTATGAAAATCTTTAACATTTGAAAATCTTAAAGCATGGTATATATTGGATGCCATACGTTTTAGTGTTTCACTCAGTAATGCTCCATGCAATGAAAGAGAGTATTATTATGGACAAGTTGGTCAGGCCTCCATAGTTAACACAATTGAGTTGTTCAGTTAGAGGAAGGAGTCTACTTCTGTATTATGTATGAAAAATACAGTGTATACTCCCAAAAATTATAGCACTTACTGTTTGAGTACAGAATGAATATTCTCAGAATTTACAAATGAATCCATTAATTAGTGTCAGTTCAAATGTATTTAAATATGGTTCCATTAAAAATACAATTTAGTTTCAGGCCTTGTTTTCCCTGAAATGATCTTAATAACAGACTAACATAGCCTTCAAATTCCCAGATAGTTAACACTTCTTGAAATATTGTGTATAAACTAGATTTGAAGAAATTAGGTTGTAATTAAGCTGTTATTAATGATTGTGGTATCTAACTCTTATGTTTACACAGAATATAGACAGGCATAGGTCAACAGCTCAGACCACCCTTAACTGGGGGCACTGCAATATCTGAGATAACTCAACCAACCCGTTCTGACAGGTAGTGATATCCTGAGGGGAAAAAATATGAAAGGACACAAACCCCTTCTTTATCAATCAGTTTAATCTAATTTTGGACCGCAACACAAAAAAATCATAATTTTATTGTTATTGCATGGTGTCCCTAAAGGAGTTAAGATTATGTGAGTGCCTCAAAATTGTGCGCTCCATTAGCATGTTTGAATTTCTTTGAAGTTTAATAGTAACTCTGAATTTCATAGGTTACAACACTATTTTTGGGAAAATTACAATATTCCTGCAATATTTTTTTTTACTCTTAAGCTACCTCTCAAATTTGACTCCAACTTACTATAATTTTTTTTCTGAAAATACACACACACACACATAAAATTAAAAGAGCATCAGTTAATGTTCTTGATACTTACATTCAAAGAAGGAAGAAGAATATGCATCAACAATCTAAGGGGGGGAAAGCAATTCTAAAATTAAATAAAAACAGCACAACAGAAATTATACAATCACAGCAATGAAAAGAATTCTGAATCACACAATTCCAGTTTGAAGGCCAGGAATTCAGTGCAGTTCTCTCTGAGAACATTCTCTATGGCAACTGCTAGTAAGACATCCATCCTAGCACTCAAGGGAACATATTCCAGCTCCAGATAACTACTGACAATACTATGCACATTGTGTTCTCAAGTATCAGTTATCCTGTAATGCTTTTTCAATTGACTCACATTGTGTATATATGATACTTACATCTTTTATTGTGTTTTGTTTGCAATTGCCGCATTACCTAGATTTTTTTTAAATACTGTATTATCTACATGCATTATATATAAAATATCAGGAAGGGAAATGTGTCATCCTATATGTGTATACATCACTCTGTTCAAGTGACACCAATCCTAATGGAGACCATTTGGAATTACTGCAGTATAAATAATAATAATAACAGCAATGATATTGTGCTGGTGGCTGTGGTATTGTAGAAGTGCTGAACCAGATCGTTTCCCTGCTTTGAGATTTCATTATAGGTACTGGATCAGATCATGATCTCTGCTTTGCACCACTCTGAAAGCTGACCTCGATGGCCACCTGAGGATTTCCCTTGATAGGGAAATCCCATAGTGATGGCATAACCACCCAACCCCCTTCACAGTCCTAGGTGTAAAACAGAGGGGTGAGGTAGGGTGGGGTCATGGGCCAAAAAGCTGATGCATTCTGTTAATGCCTAAAGCCTAAATGGCTTCTTCAGGGCCACTGCAGCTGACAGTAAGTTAGAATAGCCCTGAGGATGCCCTAAATGGGCCAAATGTGCACCCAGGATCGGAGGGGACAAAAAGGTAGCCATGAGCCACCTTTGCCGCCCCTTGCCCCTGGGTCCTGCACTGAGAGGAGACTGGTCAGACTCAAGGAACGGGCCAGCTGTGTCTTGTTTTGCCTTTGTAAACAGTTTAGCGTTATGTAACAGTTAATAGTTCTTTAAAGTACTATTTACATGGGGGACTTAACACTGGCTGAAACATATGTGTTTCGTTTTATAGACAGAAAACATTAATGCCGTATATATACTTTATTTTGTTAGTCTTTACAAAGTACCTTATAATCTCTTTGAACTCTGAAATCTTCCTGCATGACCAGTCACAAGCTACAGTAGCTGTACAGCTGTCCTCTGTCTCTCTCACTCATGCACAGCCATGCAGTCCCATCATAAACTGTCACTGGTGGTACTAACTACAGGAAGTTCTGGGGTTTGGACACATTAATGCATCCTCTCATCCTAAGACCTCATCATTCACTACGCTGTAAATAATAAAAATATCCTTCTTCATTCTTTTGGTCCTTCAGAGAGGAAAACCCCTTATTTTATGTGCCAAAGCTCCTACCCACAGGCTATTTTATCCATGCTTCACAAAAAAAAAAAAAAATACAAAGATAGAATATAACAAATAAGTCCAGATTTTGGCTAACCCATACATTAATGCACCAGGGTGGGAGAAGGGCCAGAATCAAGTTGAGGAGCATACTTCTTGCCCCGTCTAACATGCCCACAATGATAGTTGCTCTGGCTCTGAATTCCACCAGCTCCGGCAAATCCAGAACTTTTCCCAAGGTAGTGCCATTACCACTCTAGGATCACCCCGCAGTCCTTCCCTGAAACTGGAATTATCACTGACTCAGCCAGAATTTCTCTTCAGGGCTCCCACTGAATCATACACCCAATACATAACCTCCAACATGGAACCTTATGGAGTCAAAGGCAGAATGCAGCCCATAAAGAATGTTGTGTTTGTCTTATATTTACACAAAGTCACACAGAGCCAGTTTTATATTCTGTCTGTGTTCTTGCTGCAGTCACATATCACACTGGTTTCCACTGCAAACCAGTAGAATATTACTTTAGAAGGGACATTCACTAGGGCTTTGATACTTTTTGACATTTAAAAATATTGTTTAAAAAAATCCTTAGTGTTATTGGTTGTGATGTCCTTAGCTGTGTGGCACCCTGTTTAGCCACATAGCCTGCTTTCCCCTAAAACTTTTACAGAGCTGCTCCTGTACTGAGATTTCAGTACCAGTGAATGGCTGTCAGTTCAAATAAAATTAATACGAATTGTGTCAAACAGTGTATGTCACAAAGATGTCATGGCAATTGCTTTTTCCCCCCAACGAGCTCTATAATAGACGTGCCATGCGGAGAAAGGCTCTGTTACTGATGAGGACACACAGGAGAATGAAACACAGACACAGAGATGGATTTTTAAAGCAGAAGGTCACAAGTTTATTATCGTTTAACTTTAGTAGAGGGGGCACATGTCACAATAGTACTGCACATTGCAATGGACCATGCAGCAACTGAGAAAGTCACTTGTACAGTAGTCTAAACAATGAGTGTAATGGAGCTACTGTGTGACTGTAGGTAGAGCTACTAGGTGGAACGTATTTATCAACACTCCCTCGTTTTGTGGAATGTTACTCATTTTATTCCCAAAGCTAGCTATGTTCCACACCAGTTTGGTGTTGCTTTACTTTTATTGCTAAAAACTGTAGACATGTATTTACATCAGAAACAAACATTAATAAGCTGAAGTTAAAGAAAGTTATTTCCACTAAACGACTGAAATCCACAGGATTTTAATTTTCCTGCATTCATAAATGTTTTGTGTCCCTCATTTTGGGTCTTTGTCACACACTGCATCCCATCTTTGCGCTTTGCTAGGTTGAGCAGTATAAGCTGGAATGGGGTATATCCCCCCTCAAGTTTGTTTGGTAGCATATAAGGCAGAGAGGTTGTGATTTACCCAGGTCACTGTCAGAGTTAGCTCTGGAACTCAGGAGTTCCTAGCTCCCAGCCCTGTGTTCAGGCCACTTCTCTCTTTCTGTATGTGCAGTAAATGAGCAGGATTTGGGATAACACACACAGAGGCACCAAGATGAGAAGCAAAAACAGAGAAAGCCTGGGAAGAGGAAGAAGGAAAATGAAGAAAATGAGAAAAATAAGCAGACGTAAAGGAAGTCAAACAGCAGCACCAAAGGAAGCGAAAAATGAGAGAACTGGGGGGGGGGGCAAAATTAGATAGAAATAGTAAATAAATATCTAGTAGGAAGAAGAAACTGATCCAGTCTGGGAGGGAAAGGGGGAATATTATTTTTGCACAGTAAGAGAAAAAGGGAGACAGAGAAAGGAAGAATAAAATCATAGGACTCCATGCAGAGAGAAGCAGGTAAATGAGGAAGAAATGCAGCCTCTGTGCCATTCTTCTCTGTCCCCCAACCTTAGGGAAGGCCCTTCACAGGGACACCACAGTCTTTGGACAGTGCCAGCCTGGATGGGGATGGAGGAGGGGAGCCAGGTTCTCTCTTCTGGATTTCCCTCTTCCTCCCATTTTCTATGGGGAAACTGGCACAAGTTAATATATTTGAATGTTAACTTGCACTGCTTCCCCCCTTTCCAGGCCTTGGGGATGAGTGGGGCTTCCTGGGTGGCTGTGGTTGTGAGAATCCCCTGAAGAATTGCTGCTAAAGAAGCCATGTTGTCCAGGGGAAGCATGAGCCTGTGGTGTAAAGCAGCAGGGAAGAAGAAAGGATTCCATTTATCTTTATTCTATCTTGTTCAGATTCATATACCACTCTAATCACCAGAGTACATCTTGAGGCTGTCTGAAATGCTACACAGATTTCACATGATCTGTCACTTCTGACTTGTTCCATCGTTGGTGAACTTCACCCACTCAATGGAAAAATGGGCACAAAACCAAAAGGTTGTAACTCAGAATTGCTTCTCTCCTTTTGTGGTTTGTTGTCCCATAGAAGAAAAAGCAGGTCATTCACTATAGTGAATACTATAGCCATTCTACTTTTTGAAAAATAGTTAAAACTGAGAATTTTAACAAGGAATTAAAAAGTGTAACTAGAAAGAATTAAAGGTAGAGATTATAGTTTATTTATATAATGTTTATAGTGCAAATTACTCTTTACACACTTAAATGTACACTGAACCAGCAAGAAGGGAATAAAGAAGGATAGCCATGAAAATATAAAGCAGCAAAAAATATCCATAGTTTTCAGTTAGGTGGATTGTATTTATTTTTCTTTCAACACATTTTTTTAAAGTATTTAGCTGCCAGAATTGCACAGAAACTGATTAATTTCCCCTCCCACCTGCTTCTTTTCAGGAACTATATAATGAAGTAAGTGACAAATTTGCTTTATTCATATTTGCTATTTAACAAATACTTCAGACAAATATCAAAAAGGTAGCATTCAGTACATTCCATTTCCTACCCACTATTACAAAGTTTCCAGCTGGAATCATTTATTTCACAACTATATGATATTTCCTGGTTTAGTGCCAGTTTTTTAACCTGCAAAATTTGTTTTACTCCCTATACCATAACTTCTTATTTTAGCCAATAATAACCTTTGAAGTGGCACCTTGCCTTTTGAAATTCTGGGTATATGGAACCTGCTCCCTTGTCTATCAGAGCAGTAATATCTTCAAAAAGCTCCAGCAAGTCACAAGAATAAGAACCCCTTTTTGAGTTTAGGTCAGCTATCTCTAGTTAAATAATGTTTTGCAAGGTATTTCTCATTGAATCCTGCAAAATTGTTTCCTGTTTTCTCCCCACAACTCAACTTAAGTTAATCAGTCTCTAATTGCTTGCGATATCTCATGTGCTTTTTGTGAATAATGTTGCCAATTTCCAGGACTCTGATGACAGCTCAAGGAGCCATCTAACAAATGCTTAAGTTTCAGCGTAGCTATGTTACAGATAATATAGTTGTTATATAGCACGGGTAAAAATGCATGGCTAATAAGGCAGGAATATTTCACACAATTTATAAACACTAAATGGAAGATAAAATAATTAAAACACATGGCTAAAGGATAATTCAAGGCCATCTACTGACACCCTACATTGAGTAGTATTGTGCTTAATTTGGTTATCCACACTGAGTGAGGGTGGCAGAAGCAGGCATGGAGATAATGATTATAGAAGGCTCCTGCCAGTATAGAGACTGCAATTTTGAATGGCACTTGCATGGGTCACATAAAGGGTGGGAGGCACAAGGTATACATGTGTGCTTCTCCTCCCACATAAGGTGTGTCACCGTTTGGCATGTACAGTTCCTAAGTATGCATAAGTAAGGCTGCCAGTTTGTCATGGAGGTCATGGAAGTCATGGATTCTGTGACTTTCCAGGACGTCTGCAGCGGCCAGTGCGGCTGGCCCAGGAGCCGCCTGAGCAGGTCCAGCAGCTCGTGGGCCAGTCACACTAGCCGCTGCTGGGACAGTCTCGGGCCACCTCACCCTCCTCCCCACCAGCAGCAGGAGTTTGGGTTTGGGAGGGGGCTTAGGGCTGGGAGTTGGGGTGTGGGAATGGGTGATGGCTCTGGATGGGGCTTGGGAGGGCTCCCTGGAAACAGCAACATCCCTCAGCTCCTAGGCAGAGGCATGGTGAGGCAGCTCTGTGTCCTGTCTCCACCTACAGGCACCACCCCCTCAACTCCGATTAGCCGTGGTTCCCAGCCAATGGAAGCTGCAGAGCTGGCGCTCAGGTCAGAGGCAGCACACAGAGATGCCTGGCCACGCCAGCTCCACCTAGGAGCTGAGGGAGGGGGATGTTGCCGCTTCCAGGAAGATGTAGAGCCAGGTGGGGAGCCTACCAGCCCCCCCTAAATATCCCCCCCCAACCCCCTCCCAGCACCAATGGTGGTCCCAGGTTGCGTGCGGCCACCCACCCTGCCCCTGTGGTAGCCCCGGACCACCCTCCCCTAGCACCCAGGGCGCCCCCAGGCTGCTCTCCCACACTCCAAGATTTAGTCAGGGGTATACAGTACAAGTCATGGACAGGTCATGGCCATGAATTTTTGTTTACTGCCCGTGACCTGTCCATGACATTTATTAAAAAGACCCGTGACTAAAACGTAGCCTTATGCATAAGTTATTCTTTTCCACATTTTTAACACAAAAACTGCTTATTTTTTCAAATGTAACTCTTGCTAGCCCAAAACTTGAAATTAACTCTCTTAATACTTCCGTAAACTACAATGAATGGGTTTACTATTGTTTGGAAAATGACCGTAGTGGACATGAGCAGCATCCTTTCTGCAGCAGTTCTGTCTCCATGACAACACCCTGGCCACAGGCTCTACTGGTGTAAATTGGTGCTGCTGCACTGAGGTCAGCAGAGTTGCACCACTTTAATACCAGCAGGGACTATGTCCCAGACCTCAGATGGATACACTGCTGGTAACTATGGATTTACACAGTTGAGCAACTCACGCTATTCAAATACAAATCCATGCAACACTGAACATCTATCCTTACATGTCACAACTTTGGCATTTATTAAACTTTCTTCTGGGGAGGTGTGAATGACAGGAAGGCATTTAATTATACTACATGGAGTTTTGGACCATAATCACAATTCAGATGTGGTGATATACATTAGCAACTCATACTCATCATAGCATCAGGGCGACAAATTCCTTTTCCCCATCAATTCATCAGCCCTGCCTCCACTGTTTTCAGAAAAAAAAATATACCCTTATGATACTATTCCTTTCATGTTGAAATTAAGATATTAATTTCTTCTATGTGGAACACATATCTAGAAAACAGTTTTAACTTGTGACTGAAGACCTTGCAGAAGGGCTGCTGTCGCATTCCTAATATATCTGCTTAGCACAAAAGAAACATCTCCTGATTTCATCGATTCAATAAATGGAAGGGTAAAACCAATACTTTGTGTACAGGAAGAACATTATAAACAGAAGATAGGAGGCTCAGTGCAACTCATTTCCATTTACTGAGTCTATAAGGAAAAGATGGTCCTGCCAAATTCAATTTACTTTATTATGTTGGGGGAAATAATGGTTCTTTTTTTTAAAAAATGGCCAGATTCAATTACAACTATAGCCAATTATGTTCCATTTCGCAGAAGGTTATGCATACAAGGAAGAGGCACATGGAATTGTTTCAGGAATTAAATCAGAAATTTCAGACTCTGGACAGATTTCGGGACGTACCAAAATCAGGAAGTATGGTAAGTATATTGTTGTCTTCTTATTAATTTAAAATATACTGGTTTGTAGACTTTAGCAAGCAAGCAAATGGATTATATAACACCATTTTATGGTAAGATGTTATTGTGTACTACTCGTAAATAGCCCGAGGACAGAGAACCAAAGATATCTGCAGTATTCTTATCTTTGACAAGTCTCATTAGATTTCATAACTAGACTATAACAACTCACAACATCATTATTGCTGACAAGTAATTGAATTGAAGGGAGCACAATTTAAAATCTGTATATGTCTACCAAGCCTAAAGGATTTATACCAAGAAAGTAGTTCATCAATGCAGTGTGGCTAGTGTAATGTTTTCTTGTCCTAGCCAAAATCATTTGTTCTATCTTCAGCTAAAATCACTCACAGCTGATGTGCTTCTGAGAGTATACATTGTCCTGTATTATCGTGCCTTGTCTGTAATAGCTTTATAAATATTTACCATTTGAAAATCAAAAATGCAATAATCCGTAGTTGACTGTTACCCTAATTGTCTGTGCACAGCAGAAATAAACCTAACAAAAACAACCTCCTTTATTTAGGTATGCTTAATAATAATGAGAACAGTGCATGGTTGAGTCTCCTTCATTAAAACAGATAGTTTACTGAGCCACATTTATTAATCAGCAATAGTATCATTATGGTTTCAAAAGTGCACACTAAAAATAAACTATGTGAGTTAGAAGTGTTTCCCTTTATGTATTTTCAACTCTGAGGGCCAGATGCTCAGCCAATGTGAAGCCAATGGAGCTATGTCAGTTTACATCAACTGAAATCTGGCCCTGAATTTTTGCTCCTCAGGGGTTTGTTGAGTATTTTCTTTAGCTATGATCTGTGTGAATTTGTACCCAGTTCTCACCTTTCCCCCATCCAAGTTTTGCCTTGTGTTTGGGGTTTGAATGAATTCAAAATCTCAAAGGAAAACTTGGCTGAAACCATTGTATCTCACCTGGTTTCACATCAGCATCATTCAAACCTACATATTTAATGTGATTTTGATACAAACCATACAACTGGACGAAGCATTCTTGAAAGATTTTTAAAATATAATGTACAAACATGGTGTAAGTTTCATCTGTACAACAGATGAAATTTATATAGTTTGGCATTTTGTTGTAAACATTTTGCACAGCTCTACTAGCGCCATCTATAATCAAAGTAAAAGATTGTATGTCCTAGGTAGACAATGCTTTTAATTATAATTAATATTTATTAGATGTTTTGTTTCTGAATATTAAATGTACCCTTAGTTATCTATATTGACTAAAATAAATAATTATTGGTTTCTGCTTTCCAAATTATAGTGCTTTCTTGGCCTGATTGTCATTTTAAAGCAAAATCTCTCAGAAATGATTTCTATGGCCAAACTTATTTTCCAGAACAAACATCCAGACTGCAATTCAGAAACCAAATTTGCAGTGCAGCAAGAGAAGCAGTGTTGTTCTAGGAGGCACAAGAGGCAAAATCACGTGACCTTCGATTTCTGTCAGGAACCAAATGGAGGTCAAATGGTGAATATTTAGGGCTTGTTCCAAAGCCTACTGAAATCAATGGGTGTTTGTATGCTGAAGATGTTGCATTTAAACTCAAATCTTCAAAAGAAACCCATATTGTATCTTTTAATCAATGCTGTAAGATGCAGTATTCAGAACTTGGTATCACTTAGGGTCCCATTATGCAGCCTTTAGGGTGAAGTCAATGTGAATTTTAGACGCACAAGGAATATGGCATTGGGCCCTTGCAGAACGATACTGTGCAAATCTCTTTTTAAATCCAAAACTTTGAATTATCTTGCCTATTGGGAAATGCCTTCTGAACAAAATCTGGTGAGAAATGACTTCTAGGTTCTATGCATTTTTCTTAAAGTTAATCCCTAAGAACTGATATGTCTACACTGCAGCAGAAGGTGTAATTTCCAGGGCATACCCACACTAGCTTTAGTCATGCGAGGGCATGGCGGCGTGAGTCTCAGGGTATGTCTACACTGCAGTTAAAACACCATGACTGGTGCACACCAGCTGACTCAGAATGAGAGGCTCAAGCTAAGGGGTTTTTAATTGTGGGGTAGATGGTCAGGTTTGGACTAGAACCTGGGCTCTAGGACCCTGAGCTCTAGGACCCTGCAAGGTGGGAGGGTCCCAGAGCTTGGGCTGCAGCCTGAACCAAAACATCTACACTGCAATTAAACAGCCCCTTAGCCTGAGCCCTGCGAGCCCAAGTCAGTTGGTATGGACCAGCCATGGGTGTCTAATTGCAGTGTAGACGTATCCTGAGGCTCACACTGCCATATCCTCGCTGCTGTTTTTTGCAAGCCAGGTAGATTAAAACTCGTACAGGTACATCTTCATGAGCTGCAAATTACACTGCTGCTTGCAGTTTGATGTTGCCACAGATATTAAAGGTGGGAATAATAGTCATTATTTTTCAGAGGAACAGCTGTGTTAGTCTGTATTTGCAAAAAGAAAAGGAGTACTTGTGGCACCTTAGAGACTAACCAATTTATTTGAGCATGAGCTTTCGTGAGCTACAGAGCTGTAGCTCACGAAAGCTCATGCTCAAATAAATTGGTTAGTCTCTAAGGTGCCACAAGTACTCCTTTTCTTTTAGTCATTATTTTTGTGGTTCTCACATGATGTTTTGTGTTACTTCTACTAACAACTGTCCAGCCACCATTAACAAATACAAACCCACTTTCTGGGACTGTGCTGACGTCAATCTGTTGATGGTGGTACACATGACTATAAAGTTTTGGCATTAAAAAGCAGTTACAAAATTGAAAATTTTGTTTTTCAGAAGAAGTAACAGAGTCAATTTCAGGATCATTCAAACATATGAGAAAAAAATACCACTATTTGATTTGAAAAGTGAAAGATTTAAAAATTTGGCATTAAAATGATTGCGGGAATTATTTACAGTAGTCAGCCTTCAACCGCAAGCTATCTTCATCCCACCATACAGACCCTCATCAATTCCCTTTGTACTCTTCAGGAGTTGAGGGCTCTCAGCCCCTGCTGGAATCAGGCCACTTTTGTTACTTCATAAGCAGATCATCAGGTTATCTCAATTTATAACCAAGCTAGCAACCTCTATTTTACATCATTCCATAATTCAAGAGAAAAATCTCTTATTTTCCTTTATTTCCTCCTACTTTTCTATAACATAGTTATTAAAATATGGCTCTCAATGCTGGCCCACATGCCCCATGCCATTCTCTGTTCAGAATTGGCAGCTGCTAGAAGGAGAGGATTTAGTTGGCAGCTCAGGTGAAGAGGCTTCCAAAGTGCAGACTGCTCAGAGAGAAGTACAGGCTGAATGATGCTGGACACCAGCCACTTCAGCTCTCTTCAAAGTCATTTTCTCTCTGTGACTTCTGTATCCCATGAGGCTACCTCAGTGATCAAAATTATGAACAGAAAATCATTTATTTCTTACTTTCAATTTTTTTCTTCCTGTTTTTTTCTGTCCTCAGGAAAACCCAACACCAAACAAGGCTCCATGGGACAGTTTCAAAAACACGAATGAATACCAACACTATACCACAATAAACGTATTAGATACAGAGGCAAAAGATGCTTTAGAACTAAGACCAGCAGAATGGGAGAAGTGTCTGAACTTGCCTTTAGATGTGCAGGAAGGTGACTTTCAAACAGAAGTTTAACAAAATCAAAACAAACTGAAATGAAAACAAAACAAAAATGAATTCATTGCACTGACGCTAAAGAGACTTGGGAAGCCTGACATTTGTGTCTGAACATTGTGACTACTTTATGTCAGGATCTTCATGTGCCAAATGTCAGTGGGATTTTTTCGTACAATATATTCCCACTAGTAAAGTTAGTGGAGAACCAGGTGTACAATTCTTACCATCGTGTGTTGTAAGTACCCGTGGAATGGATTTGTAAGGTAATCTTTATAGATAAACCTCAAGCAACGATTCATGTTGTAACAGCTTCATTTGGTTTAGTTTTCAAAAAACTTCACCATGAAGCACAATGTATATATTTATGCAGTTTTTAAAGTTTATAACAGTCTGTTTGGCCATTACTACACTTTTTACTTTATAATATAAAAGCAAAGTTTTTGTCATTAAATGAATGTCTGTTGAGCTACATTCTTCATTGCTTTAAATGCAATAAAGTAATAATCTCACTTTTATATGAATAATATATTTCACATCTTTATTATTGCAGTTTTCTCTGGAAAGCTCAGAGTAGCTTTCTCTGCTGCAGCTGTGTATAAAATATTTAAAATGTTGTATGGTGTAAATAAACTTTTGTCTACATATCAGTTTTTTAGTGTATTTTATTTTGGATTTGTTGATCTACAATTTGCATATTTATAAAGTTTTCTTTAAAACCACAGATACTGAAAATGTATTCAGAGTTTTAATAGCATACTGTTATTATTCCTTCAAGGCTAATGATTTTCAAATGTAATCGTAGGTTTGTATAGCTGTTCTGTATTTTCTACTCAGATATTCTTTGGAAACAATGTACCATGTAAATTGGACTTGTCAGAATACTGCTACAATTGTTCTATTATGCAAGTATTATGTTTTTCTGTCTTGTTGCGGAGAGACAACTAATAGAAAACAAGTAAGGTACTATGCACAAAGCCTCAAGGAAAATGTTGATTTATAGTTATTAAATTGTGTGTATATACACAATAGGAAGAAAGCCACTTGGTGCCTCTTGTTGCAGCATGACAAACAACAAGAAAGACTTATGCACCTATAAAGGATTAAAAACTCAGGAACATATTTCTTAGCCAAAAAAAAAGTGAATGCACTTCACATTATAAATCAAGAACATAATGTATTTTCGTATTAGGGATCCAACTATACAATTAATCAAGAGTCAAAGACTGAAGGCGCTGATTATCAAACCTGCCTGTGTGATTTGGTAAAGTCACTCTGGTCAGACCTAAAAATGAGCCAAAAAACACAATATCTTTCCAAGAATGAGGGGGTTTGAATTCCTGAATATGAATCTGCTCCTTTGTTTGTGGAATCAAATCCAAAACAGGAAAGGACTTATTTTCTACTTTACAGATACTCTACAGATGCTGCTGAAATTACACATTCTTACAAAATGCTGGCAGTCTCTCCAGAACCGCCGATTTTGTGAAATTTCCAACAATCAAGATCAGTTCTGGAGATTTTTTGGTACTATTGAATCCAGGCACAAACTACAGTCCTACCCTTGATTGAGCCTGGGAACTAATCTTTAGCATAATCTGGAACACAGCCTACTAGGCTCGTCTCTATTCAGAACTCATTAGCTGCTCTACTCTCCCTCAAATTAGTATGAAAGGGAATATTATATATTAATATTGTCTCATATTTACAATAATAGGAGGCTTTAAAATCAAACTAGACCACCAAGCTTTCAATTATTTATTTGATTGACTTAATGTTAAATCAGCCCTGTCCTGTTTTAAACAGTCAAGTGCTTGAGTGGGCACATTCATTCACTGTCTTTTTCAAAGGGTGCAGCTCAAGCTGAAACAAGCACTGAGAAAAAATGGAATGTATAAATGTATTATTATTTATCAATAGTATGTAAAGCACTGACAGTGTGATTGGCACTACAGTAAATCCAAACACAAATAAGGGCCTTACTCTAGAGAGCTTACAGCCTAAAAGCTACTCACAGAGAAGACCAGATGTACTGGGATACCCAAAAGAGGGAGATAAAATATACATTTTAAAAAAAGTATCTATCTTTTTCTTGTGTTAAGAGCCAAGTCTAAAACTGAATATGAATCTGAAAACTCAACAGTTCAGGTTTAACATCCTGTCCGTCTTTAGATGTTAGTCATTTATTTTCTTCTAATCAGAGAACATTCTTTGAAAAACATGTTAATTAAATTTGCAAATCAAATATGCCAAAAATGTGTTTTAAAAAGCAAATACATTCTAAAGAAAGAACTTATTTTTCAACAGTGTAAATACTCATTAATTGCATAAGGCCATCTGCTCTCCACCTGCTCTCCATCAGCAAAGTGAAGGATGATTTCTAACAATTTGCTGCTAGTCAGAATGTGGCCAGGACCCCTTTGTATGGGAAAGCAGTGCCTACTCGCAGCAGATATGCATTTGTCAGGTAGCAACACAAGACATCCATGCCTTTACTCTGCCGTATGGGTAACGGGGATGTGGCCAGCCTAAAGGAGCTAGGAAACACCTGCACTGTGTTGCATGAGCCTATGGCAAAGTGATGTAACTGTTACCAGAATTTTCTATCAGGGTTAATGGTGTTACTTCAGTATTAAGTTTCCTTTCGTGCTGTGTGACATCCACGGGGGGGGGGGGGGGGAGGGGCGGTAAATGAATAATGCTGCTGCCAAGCAACCAATGGCAGCATGGCAGTGCCAACCATGCTGGCAGTGTTGTGCTTAGGTGTGGGCCCGAAGACTCCACAGAAACGATGGCACTGGCTGAGCCTTTATGACTGAGATAGATGAGGAGATTGTACCAATAGAGCCCCAAAGTTACAGGGGTGTAAATGGTGTGTCTTTGGGGTGTTTGACCCCCACAGAGATTTTCTGTAAGAACACCCTCTTTTATGCAGAAGTGCTGTTTTAAAATGGATTAAATTGATCTGGTTTAAATAGAATATCAATTTCTTCTCTAGCTTCCACAGGCTGGAAATAATGAGCTGCCATTTCTCCCAGTTGCTGGTAGATGAGCTAGTCATGGCAAGATTTAGCACCAGGACCACCTCCCATTCCAGCAACTTTTTGAGGTCTCAATCTTCTATTACGCTATAAGCAAGATGGTGATAACCATCTGACAACCAAGGAAGATGTAGTGGTCATTAATTAGGAACAAAGGGTTGGGCTACTGTGTGTTGACTGTGGGGTTGTTTCCTCAGTCTACTGCTAGGATCATTTTACACCCCCAGGGCTATGCTTTGACTCTGGGGAGTTGGGTGGATGTAGAAAGCCCACTGATTGAAACCTCCCTAGGGGGCACAGTAGACATCTTGAGAGACAAAGGTTTTGGGGCTGAGTCTGAACAGGATCCAGGAGCTGGTAACCAAAGAAAAGAATTTTGGAAACAGGTGTGGTTTGATGAAGCAGTCTCACATTTCACACTCCCCATTCCCCTTCAAATTCTTCAGGAGAGCCCAGGAATTCCCCTCCCTGCAAGAAAAGCTCAATCGGGGGGATGGGGGGGTAAGGAAAGTCCACCTACTGAGAGAAAACAGGAATTCCTACTAATTCCAGAACTCCCAGTCAGACAGCTCATGAGTTAATCACAATCAGCATCCCACTCCCCCTCTCTCTTCAAGCTGATAAGCATCTAAAAGAAAATGTTCTTTGGCTTCAAGGCACAGCTCCCAGCAAAGTTTCTGAGAAGGCCTCACTTTCCCCTCTAATAGCCCCTTTCCTCAGCCCCTGAAAAAGGCGGACAGCAGCAAGTAAGAAAGTAGACTACTCAACTTTATCAGAGGAAGGGGAGTGTTCAGGAGATACCAGCCAAGGCCACAAGAAGGCAAAGCCCTAAAAAGATACCTCAATTTGCAGCTGTCTACATTCAATTCTTATTAAATACTAAATTCTTCAGGATACTTTCCTTAATTCCTGAGGAGAAAGGAAACCCCCATCTAAAAAGACTCCAAAATGCCGCTTTGTCCAGAAGAGGGAATGGGCAAGAATTTTCCTGCACACCCAATCTTGAGCATATTGAAGAATCATGGGTCCAAGTCACAAAACTCCCAAGCCCAAATGCCAGGTTACCTAACAACACCTTTAAAGAGCAGGTAGGAGTTCAGAGTGGACTGGGAGCCACCGCCGTTGTCAAAAAAGACCAATTTTTATTCATAGGAAATCCCTAGAATTCAATTTTTAAAAGTGCTTTGAGCTAGCTTCTTCAGTGTTTTTCCCATCATAATGCCTATGATTCGTTGTATTATGTCAAACTGGACTTTTGACTCAGGAAATTGCAAACAGTGATGTGTGAAGTACAAAAAAGAAGAAAGAACTGTGTAGAATGATGTTTGAATTTTTTATTCAGTGTTTCCCTGGATCTGACCACTTCATCAACCTATCTTTCTTATCAATAGTGTAACAGAAAGATCAGCTTTAGGACTCCGTCCTTGTTAAGTAGGTTCTCAAGTCAAGCAAGCCTGGGTTGTGGTCTTCAGGACTGATGTCTCTTCAGGTACACCTTAGAGAATATTCTTTGGGATAGGGCAAACCTAGAGCCTCCTTGTCTGACAACAAATACACATATTACTTTTCCAGGAATAGCACTAGGTTTGGCTACTTCCTTCCAAATTTAGACTGGATTTTAAGCTATCACAAGTCATAAACATCCAGAGCTCTCAGAGGCAGGGCCAAGAGATCATTCTATAAGGACCAATGTGAACTTATAACTCCAGAAAACATAGTCAGCCCTCGCCACATAAAGAGGGGAAGGAAAAGAGGGAGCGGAAGGCCCCACTACACTAATCTATGGGGCAACACCACAAAATGAAGGTGTTGTAAGTGGCCTCTGTCAGGTACTATATAGAAAACACTAATATCCCTCCCAAAACATGTTTTGTATCCTCACCTACCTCATCAGAACCAAGGAAATAAAAGGAGGTGATGACCCAATGTCTGATAGCGTTCCAAGCCAAATGGAGGGAGGGAGGCTCCAGTGAGTAGACTCACACTTCTATGAGGTGCCCCAAGATCCAGAAAGCCATACCTAGTCCTTGATCTGAAATAGCTCGACACATTTGCATCATACAAACATTTGAAAATATAAATTGTCAAGGTTCCTCCCCCACTCTGAACTCTAGGGTACAGATGTGGGGACCTGCATGAAAACCTCCTAAGCTTACTTTTACCAGCTTAGGTTAAAACTTCCCCAAGGTACAAATTAATTTTATCCTTTGTCCTTGGAATATCCACTGCCACCACCAAACTCTAACTGGGTTTACTGGGAAACGTAGTTTGGACACATCTTTCCCCCCAAAATCCTCCCAACCCTTGCACCTCCCCTTTCCTGGGAAAGGTTTGGTAAAAATCCTCACCAATTTGCATAGGTGACCACAGACCCAAACCCTTGGATCTGAGAACAATGAAAAAGCATTCAGTTTTCTTACAAGAAGACTTTTAATAGAAATAGAAGTAAATAGAAGTAAAGAAATCACCTCTGTAAAATCAGGATGGTAGATACCTTACAGGGTAATTAGATTCAAAACATAGAGAATCCCTCTAGGCAAAACCTTAAGTTACAAAAAAGACACACAGACAGAAATAGTCATTCTATTCAGCACAGTTCTTTTCTCAGC